TTTCTTTTAGAGAACCACTGTAAGGAATGAAACCAAACATGGCATGAATTTGCTTATGAGGTGCTGGCCAAGTGTTGTTACTTTGTAGCCAATCAATCATCCAAAATGGCTGCCAGCGGGGAACTTAGTTTAACAAAGGACCCTATGTGAAATACATACAAAAGTCTCCTTTTGAAGAACCACTGAATGGAATTAAACCAAACATGGCATTAATGTTCCTTGTGAGGTGCTGACCAAGTGTTGTTACTTTGTAGCAAATCCATCAACCAAATGGGAAATATATACAAATGTCTTCTTCTAGAAAACTGCTTATTGGATTAAAACCAAACATGGTATGAATGTTTCTTTTGAGGTGCTGACCAAGTGTTGTTACTTTGTAGCTAATTTGTCATCCAAGATGGCTGCCATCAGGAGGGCAAGTTAAACATAGGACAAATGTTTTCTTCTAGAGGACCGCTGAATAGAATGACACTAAACATGCCATGAATGTTCCTAATGAGGTGCTGACCAAGTGTTGTTACTTTGTAGCTGAACCATCATCCAAGATGGCCGCCAGGTTTTACATTAGACCCTATGGGAAATACATACAAATGCTTCTTCTAGAGGAGCATTGAACGGAATGAAACCAAACATGGCAAAAATGTCCCTTATCAGGTGCATGAAGTGTTGCTACTTTGTTGCCGATTTACTGTTCAAGATGGCCAACAGGATTTTTTATTAAATTACGGGCCAATATAAAACCAAATTTGGCCTCAATCATTATTAGGGTATCTGTTATGATTTTAATCTATTTTTACATGATTTCCAAAACCAAAGTAGAATCAGGTGAACGACACAGGCTCTTGAGAGCCTCTAGTTTTGTATTCTTGTCTTTCATTTTTGCTTATGTGCTTTGTCTATATGCCATTTTCTTTTTCTTAGTTGACATATTTGTTTGTTTTATAGTGATTAAGATTTTAACACAATGTTGACTGCTGAACCCCTATTTTTGACATTTTTACCTATTATATCTGTTTGTTTTGTTCACACATTGTTGTCAATATAATGGAATTTGAAGCGACTGTCATACAAGTGAGAGGTTTAGCTAACTATAAAACCAGGCTTAATCCACCATTTTCTACATAAGGAAATGCCTGTACCAAGTCAGGAATGTCACAGTTGTTTTCCATTCGTTTGATGTGTTTGAGCTTTTGATTTTGCCATTTGATAAGGGACTTTCCGTTTTGAATTTTCCTTTGAGTTCCCCAACTTTGATTGAAGATTTTGTAAGCAGAATTTTACCTAGTCCGAAATTGGTGAAATAGTTCTATATAGAAATAAGAATATGTGGTATGATTGCCAATGAGACAACAATCCACCAAAGTTCAAATGAAGTGGAAATATTCGATTATAGGCCACTGTACGGTCTTCAACTATGAGAAAACCCATATCGTATAGTCGGCTATAAAAGGCCCCGACATGAAAAATATGAAACAATTCAATTGAGAAAACTAAAAGCCTGATTTATAACAAACAATTTGCGAAAAACAAATTTGACAGACATGAACAAACGAAAACCAATAAACTACAGGCTCCTGATTTGGGACAGGCACATATAGAATGTTGCGGGGTTAAACTAGTTGGCTGGCAATAAACCCTCCCCTAAAATGGGACAGTAGTGTATAAGTACAACATAAGAACAAATTATAAAAATCAGTTAAAATGTCTTAACTCATTAGATCAATACAAAGCAAAAACATCTAACGAAAACACAGACCGGACTTGGCAGAGTATCTATACATCACACAAAAAAAAGACAATGAGTAAAGATCTGAGAGTACTCGCAGTTACTGACAGCTAATTCAAAGCCAATAACAACTAATACAATAATCATGTATCTAAGACTAAAATATCAATAAATACACATCCAACATCCAATGGATTTAGTGTAAAGACGTCATTAACAGTCAGAGAAAAACATAACCTTGTCCAATGCCAAAATATAGGTATCGACAGATTGTTGTACCGTGAATGTGCAAATGTGTATAATAATAATATTTAATATGGTTTTAATTTACTGATAACAGAATCAATATCTATCAAACCAATAAAAACGATATTAAAAGATTTAATTACAGTGTTGAATTGGTAACCACTAAGAATAAGTTTATTTAAAGGATTGATAAGTTTACTCTGATCGTATCTTAATTTAGTAACTGAAACACTAGCAGCAGACAGTAATATTGTTTTACTGAAAAGATGACAATAAAATTATATGTTCCATCGTGGGTTGGTAGCTGTCTCTTTAACGTATACCAACATATCATTAAATACATAGAATGTAGATGTTATATATTAAAGGTCTTTAATAAACACCACCGATGGTAGTTTAGATCATGACTTGTAAATTCATAAGCTTAAGATTCATTCAAACTGAAATTCAGGAAATACAAGCAATCATCTCTGTTTGTTTCTCTCTCAGAAACCAATTTCTCTATCAACAGTGATGTCGTTGTACTCAACTTTAAGACATGTCCACTTTAAGTGTTCTTCGTACCCGCTCTTACGCGTTACCGTGTTATTCTAGACTAAAATGTCAATCATAGTAACACTTCATATTTGTTCCTGAATTTTAGTTGGTTGATCATGTTGATAGCTAGTATATTTTTCTTCTCTGCTATTAGATGAAATGCATTCATATCTTACCAAAGACGGGTAATAAGTCTTATTTGAACTCTCTCAGCCGTGAGTTTGCTAAATAAAAGCATATGTCTTTTTATCCCTCACTGCGAAGCTTGATCTTCTTTGAGCTTTATTAAATCCGACTGTTTTTGCCAGTGTCGTGATAGCGACTGAATAATAGAATTGAATTTTGAATGTTTAACTAATCCATCTTTATTGATAGTCCGTGTAATTAAACATTAATCATGTATATATATAAATATCATGTTCGGGAAAGGAATTTGTGAAAAATAACAATCTTGCGACAAAATGTCCTTCGCCTAGCTGCTCATGAGGTTTTACGTTCTCTCAACTAGTAGTTTCCGAAAAAAATATGTTTACGTAGTACATCTCAAACGGATTTAGTTTGAAGATACTATGCGCAGTCTGAGTAAAGTAAGACCATGTGCAATTCAAAAATATCAAAATATGAGTATACACGGGATGTTGGACCATAAGTGACAACTATCCACCAAAGTTCAAATGAAGTGGATGTAAGCAGTTATAGGCAACCGTACGGCCTTCAACATTGAGAAAAACCCATACCGTATAGTCGGCTATAAAAGGCCCCGACATGAAAAAAATGAAACAATCCAATTGAGAAAACTAACGGCCTAATTTATAACAAATCAATTTACGAAAAGCAAATATGTAAGACGTCAGCCAACGACAACCACTGAACTAGAGGCTCCTGACTTGGGACAGGCACATAAAGAATGTGGGATAAAGAGGAAGGGGGGTTTTAAACATGTTTGTTAGCGCTCAACCATAAACATTGTTTAAAATTATAAGAGAAACCTAATTAATTTTTTTAACAAATTTCGATTTTTATAGAGTAAAAGTATCATATACACATCAGCCACAAAAATCTTTTAAGGAAAACATCTCAAAAGAAAAATACAACATATATATGATAAAAATGTTAGATTAGGTAATGAAAGACATGTGCAATTACTAAGCATCGGTCTTATATGTTAAAGACATGTGCAATTACTAAGCATCAGTCTCATATGTCAATTAGTAAGCATGAGTCTCGTATGTTAAGGACATGTGCAATTACTAAGCATCGGTCTCATATGTTAAGGACATGTGCAATTACTTAGCATCGGTCTCATATGTTAAGGAAATGTGCAATTACTAAGCATCAGTCTCATAAATTAAGGACATGTGCAATTACTAAGCATCAGTCTCATATTTTAAGGACATGTGGAATTACTAAGCATCGGTCTCATATGTTAAGGACATGTGCAATTACTAAGCATCGGTCTCATATGTTAAGGACATGTGCAATTACTAAGCATCGGTCTCATATGTTAAGGTCATGTGCAATTACTTAGCATCAGCCTCATATGTCAATTACTAAGCATCAGTCTCATATGTTGAGGACATGTGCAATTACTTAGCATCGGTCTCTTATGTTAAGAACTGCAATTACTAAGCATCGGTCTCATATGTTAAGGACATGTGCAATTACTAAGCATCGGTCTCATATGTTAAGGACATGTGCAATTACTAAGCATCGGTCTCATATGTTAAGGTCATGTGCAATTACTTAGCATCAGCCTCATATGTCAATTACTAAGCATCAGTCTCATATAATAAGGACATGTGCAATTACTTAGCATCGGTCTCTTATGTTAAGAACTGCAATTACTAAGCATCGGTCTCATATGTTAAGGACATGTGCAATTACTAAGCATCGGTCTCATATGTTAAGAACATGTGCAATTACTAAGCATCGGTCTCATATGTTAAGGAAATGTGCAATTACTAAGCATCAGTCTCATAAATTAAGGACATGTGCAATTACTAAGCATCAGTCTCATATTTTAAGGACATGTGGAATTACTAAGCATCGGTCTCATATGTTAAGGACATGTGCAATTACTAAGCATCGGTCTCATATGTTAAGGACATGTGCAATTACTAAGCATCGGTCTCATATGTCGGTCTCATATGTTAAAGATGTGCAATTACTAAGCATCAGTCTTATATGTTAAGGACTTCTAATTAAGTATTATAGTAAGTGACGGACATTTTAATTGAACCACACCCCCCTGTGTATATCATCATATCTATCCCAAAATTAGGAATGTTCAATTTGTTTTTCATAGTAAACAGATGTTTGTTTTGGCTGCGGGAAGGATGGTACAAATAATTTGACATTATGATAATGATGTTATTTTCATGTAATAACATATGATATTAATGTGTTGCGGCTGAAAAGGTTTTCACTATCCTGTTCATAATGGATGAACTACGTATGTTTGTTAGTTTAAAGTTTTTATTTTAAAAATTGAATTACGCACGATGTATTACAATCTGGTAAACAATTTTTTCAATAAGTTTTAAACAAAAAATTATCAGCTGGTATAAATAGAGCATGCAAGCGGTCAAAATATTAATTTAATCACATTGACATTAAATATGAAACTCTTGCTTGTTGGGATTGTGTGCGTTTGTCTTTATGGTAAGTTTTCTTTCATTTTATTTTTGAGAAAAGTTTTTTTTTTCTTCAATATCCTTACACAATATATGTTGACCAAATTAAAGTGACAGTAGTTTAATGATGTTCAAACCTCGTAAAACGAGTTCATAGACAAAATTAATTAAAACTTCTTACAGACACAAAGGAAAGATTATTTCGATAGATTGGAAATCCGTCTCATTGCAATGTGATGGCCTCCCTAGCTTCGTATACGGTTTAGGCTTTGCTCATTCCCCTTACCGTTACCAATAGTTGATACGCAAAGTATTCTATATAGGTGTAACACGACGGGTTTCCCATGTAAAGCAGGATTTGCTAACCCTTTCCGTAGCATCATATTGTGTAGCACTTTAGTGTTCTGTGTTGTGTTTTGTAGACTGTTTGTCTTTTGATCGTATTTTCGTTATTTAAATCCCCTATATTCTATATTTAACAATGGTATAGTATAGAACTGGACAATCACGGCCGTGGTCAATCGTTTTGTTTTCCAATTTGACAAACTCTGAAAAAGGTATCAGCTTTATCAATTACCTGGAAACGTTACTTTCAAGGACTTTATAAATGTGTTAACTCGTCGACTTAATCAAAACCTCAATAAAATCTGATGGACTGTATGTTAAGGACCGAGTTTATAAACCAGTTAATTCCATAAAATACCCTTTTATTTCTTTTAATTCCAATACTATGCACTTAGATTATTTTCAAACCAAATATTTCATAAACATTAGTAAAACTATTTCGCCCGTTTAAGATTTAGAACTCTTGACTTCACGAAATAATATTTAGCATACAGCATTGGAGGTATCAATAGTTATTTCGTTACATAGTTGAAAGCAGTGCAGCCTCTGATCTAGTTATGAATTTTTCAGGCATTGTACTGAGTTGTACTAAATGTAATTTACACAGTGATGACTGTTCCTCACACTGTCAAAATGGAGGGGCACCCCATTGCCATTATTATAATAGCACCACTAACTGCTGTTTCTGTGAAGTTCCAATTGAATGTCATCCAAGTAATGCTACTGTTGCTTGTCCTGCAAATTGTGTTTGTGAACCGGAAGGGGAACATCACCACTGCATGTGTCCAGAATAAAGGTAAAGTTATTTGATAAATCAGTGTTTTTTTACACGGGGGTGCTCATTTCAAAAATCATAATTTTTTTTGGTACATTTTTACACACTTCCCACTTTTTTCCCTTATTTTTCCCAGATCCCACTTTTTTATCCCCCATATTCCACATCCCACTTTTTTAATCCATTTATCACATATTCAAAAAGCTTGTGATCCCCCTCTTAGAGAGGGGGTCTTCATCTCTGTATTTGTTTTTATTTTAACGCAAATGTATTCTTTATTTTGATTTTGCCATTATTTGCTATTATCTATAATTAATTTTGGTCTATTCTTTATTTTTTGGTTTATATTCTCTATTCTGTAGTCTTCATCGAGATCCTCATATCTCAAATTATTTAAATCACACATACTACATCATAGATTTATTTTTTTGTTTCCAAACATTGAAGTTGCGACGAAAATCACTAAGTTTGAAAAAAGGGAGTTATGGGGGAACATAGAATATACCAAGAGTACAATCAAAAACCAACTGTTGCAGATAGACAGACAATGTCGTTTCCAAAGGAAAATAACAAACAACTGCCACCAAAAAGAAGACACGCAGTAAATTCAAGATTTTAATTCACTAAATAAACGGGAGAGAACACGTTTTCAGACAAAAACGATAGAATACAAAAACAATAAACGACATTTTTCAAAGCACAAAGAATTGCATATTCGAGTTTACAAATACAATTTTATTATGGTTTTTTTAATTTGCTTTATTGTTTTTGTTATTATTATTTTTTTTATTATTATTATTGTTATTTGTAGGTGACGAATGACAAAACAGGTTACATGCAGATTCAGACCTACAGCAATGTTTTTATTAAGGATCGCTCTCATTAGTAATAGACGACGATTAGCAATGTTTTTATGTGTAGCTTCTTGGATAATCTTGTAAGACTTCTAAAATCATAGATTTCATAGTTATTTTAAAACTTTACAGAAGCTGAAGGTACTTTCGTAAATATACTAGATTGTGTATTTAATGTGTTTGGTAATTTAATTGTATTTATATGTTGTTACATAAAAGCATGCATTAATAAAAATTTATTTGCCTATATCCTTACTTTTAATATACATTTTAGTGATGCGAATTGTCTTCGAGCATTCGGTCTGATTAACAATGTTATTAGCCAGGGTAGCATATACAGTGTAGTTTAGATTAGTTCAAAGCTATACTTAAAACTGTTATAATAATCTGTCAATAAACTATTCTAAACAGTTCTGGATAGAACTGTCAAAAACTGTTCTAGGGTGGAACCATATACGTAATTGAGAGAAGGGGCTGTTAACTGTATTTTCCCGGATAGCCATCTTTTAAACTAGATGCACCTGTTAATTTTGCATTAAATTGATACAACATGAAAGAATGATTAAAATATCTTCCAGAAAAAAACCGCATATAATATGTTTTATATACCTATATGGAAATATTTTCTTTCAGAACGATAGGTCTTTCTTTTGAAGAATCAACCCGGACGATACCAAGTTTCAATGAAATTTGCTTCAAGGCATCAAATAATGACCTGTGTTAGGTCATTATTTTCCCTGATTAAAATGCAAACTATAATGTACTTAAACATGTAATTTGTTTGATAGTTATCGTGTGTTGTTGCCAATTGGGGTTTTACTTTTAAGTTCTCCAACTTTGATAGGCAGAAACAATCCTTAAAGTTTCCTAGATGTTTATTAGACTGAAATAACAAAAATCGTCATGGACACACATTTTAACTTTCGAAATAAATAATTTGAAGTAATGTTAATTTATCGCTACAATAAAATGACTTACGGTCGGTCTTTCATTTGATCAATCCTGACACCCCTCGGTGTGTTATACGACAAGAAAAACCTTAAAATATGCATTATCTATAACATTGTCATCCTTCAGGGGTAATAATAAATATAAATGCAAAGGGAATACTGATGATTTCAGGCATGTTGACAGATTTGTAGTGTCCAGTTGATAATTGTAGCTTTATCATTTTCTACCCATTTACTAAAGTTTACACACACAAAAATGGTTGAAAATCATCATTCAAGGGCAACATTCCTATAAGGAGTCAACTGACAATTTCAGCCATGTTGACGGAATGGTGAATTTTGCTATATACAGCTTCTTTCCATCTATTAATAGAAAAACAAAGAATATGGGGTATCCATCCATGACACAAAATCAGTACATGCACAGTAAAAATCACACAAAAAGCAAAAGAACAACACTTTTATTGCTGTTCTTCATCTCAAAGTCACAGTGAGGCCTTCAACACGGGGCAAAAAACTCTCAGCTCACTCCAAATTTAAGATGGCTCCTAAAGCTTCTGCGAAAAAAACATAAGAATGGTTAAAAAGGGTCTTTCAAGGGCAATAACTTCCATAAGGGATCGAATGTCGATTTCGGCCTTGTTGAACTATATGTATATCTTGTCCTGCTGATCAATTTTCCATTTCACAGTTTGTATATACATGTATCTACAATAGTTTCTTTAAGATCACAAAATGGGTAAAAATCGTCTTTCAAGGGAAATAACTACTATAAGGAGTCAACTGACAATTTCGGCTATTTGACTTATTTGTATGTCCGGCTGATATTTTTAGCTTTTACTATCTTTTATAGTTTTAAATATGATAGCCAAAATCGCACAACAAATGGTGAAGATCATCATTAACATGTACCCCTATTATCTATTTTAAACTTGGTATCCATGTTGGTTGGCAGGCGGGGTCATCGGATACGTTTTTTTAAACAAGATATCATAATGATGATTGTGCCCGAGTTTGGTTCAGGTGTTTAAGAAGAGAAGATTTTGTAAGAGTTAACAGACGACACCATAAGACGGACGTTAATTGAAAGAAAAAGCTCACACTTTTCCTTTAGGCATGGTGATCTAATAAAAAAGATTAAATAGTAAACATAATTACTTTCTAGAATGTAGTTTTAGTTCTGTCATATCTCCATGTTCATAATTAATGTTTAATCAAAAACATTTTTATTTGTATGTATAATGCTTCATCAGTTAGGAAATCTACTTTTAATATTTCCGTAACTACTATAAAAAAATCCAGTTATTATATATTGTTGAAAGAAAGAAAATTATTATGGTCGAAGAGCGTTTTAGGGTGTGCATATTACATAAATAAATGGTTTACACATGCAGTGATTGTATCAATTATATACTCGAGTTTAATTGACATTATGCAATCTTATGTTATAAATCATATTTCACACAACGGTCTGGTATTATTATGCCGTTATGTTTGGCACCCGTTAAATGTATATACAGTAAATAAAGCTAAAAAGACTTAATACTAGTAATTAATCTTGAAAAGCAACAAAGATAGCAAAGAATATTTTGTTTGAAATATTAAAGACTAATTTGAAATTAAAACCGATAGATAAATAAAAAAGATCAATTAAATTATTATGATACATAAAATAAATTAAACAAATTTAATTATATCAATAAAAAATTCTAATAGAAAATTAACATAATAATTTAGATTAATATAGAGCTGTCCACAGATGTTTTAAAGATAGGCCCATCAGGATCTGTTCTAGGGCAGAACTGTCAGAATCAGTTCTAGGGCAGAACTGTCAGAATCAGTTCTAGGTAAAACTGTCCGAAACTGTTCTATGATTGAACTGTTAGAATATGTTTTATGTTAGAACTGTCCAAAACTGTTCTAGGATTGAACTGTTAGAATATGTTCTATGTTAGAACTGTCCAAAAACTGTTCTAGGATTGAACTGATAAAAACTGTTAGTGGATAGAACCGCTTTTGTTAGAAACTGTTTCATGAAGTGCCAGGAGAATTTTTCCGCTGGCTGATCCTGACAAATTTTAAGATAGATTAGAAGTTATCACAACCGTATCTTGAACACCATCTATTTATATCTTGAAAAGTGTTGATAAAAGACCACATGATCATAGGTCTGATATTAAACGTAACAACCAATACAAACGAATTGGACATCAAACTAAAAGTATTACACCTCAAGATCACTAATTGACAACAATATTTGTAAACATCGACGATTATCCATATTGGCAAATACACAATAGGTATAGTGTCCGGCTGATATCGTGTTTTTTCGAGTGAATCGGTCCACTTTTTCCAGTGTAGATCAGGTTTTTTTTCGAGTGATATGACATGCGTTCAGACATATTTTCTGCTATTTCGCGAGTGTAATAGTTTTATTCGTGACTGTTCATCATATTCTGAATGTTAAACATGTTTTCAGCACAAACGACGCACAATTTCCTTGTTGTTCACTTACAATTCAGTGTTTCATATTGTCTGTGTTTTTTTTTTTAGAGCAACATTTAAAACCTCCGGGTTTTTTGAAGAAAATATGATTCTTGGGCTTAAAAACAGACTTTTTCTAGTTTGTAACTGTAATGTAGCGGAGGACAATATTATATATACTAAATAAGTCATAAAAACATATTACTATGATGATCAAGTTTAACCCTTTTCAATTTAATGATAAAATTTTTTTATTATTCATCAACAATATTGCACATGCTGTTAACAGATTTCTTCACTGGTACAGCTGTTTTAGTGGAGATCCCTGTATATTAGTACCTAAAGACCACGGTATCTTCAGGTATATGTTTATAAATCTTTTAGTATATATACTATTTATCATTAATACCTTATTTATCATTAATACATTATTTATCATTAATACATTATTTGTCAATAATACATTATTTATCATTTATACATTATTTATCATTAATACATTATTTATCATTAATACATTATTTCTCTACTATTTTACTATTATAACTATAAATATGAACTTTATATCAAAAATAGTATCCCTTAATATATCATTATTAACTATCTGATAGATGTTGAGAGTAAAAAAGAATAACGGGTTATAGTAGCATTTTCGGAATTTGGTTTGTGGTTTAATATGTTTCTCTATCGTCCGGTATCACGGTATTTTCAGTTTTTTTGTATGGATTAATTACTTTCACTGTTTTTATGCCAAACATAAATGTTTTAGCCACGGAAGGTATGTATACGTAAAATGTTTGGTCTCATACAGTAAACATGATTTGTATTTCTTCCGTATAATCTAAAATTAAAGTATATAAATATGTGGGACAAATTAAGAGGTACTTTCAAAACTCATTGAAATTGTAAAATAAAATAATCATCTATCAAACAAGTAAGGTACATAGAGCTCTGTAAAATACATATATAATAACAATATTGACAATGATATAATAACAATGTTGTTCAAATATAAGAATATATCTTTTCTAGTCTCCCTTTTCCTTCAATATTAATATATTTGTTTTGTAATGATAATCCATTTATAAATTCTGACCTAAAAACATTATACAGATTGATATTATTTGTCCTATATTCTGACAAATAGTGTATTTTGTGTATAGTAAACACAATAACTGTAAGTAAAGAGTTCATTTCATAATGATGTTCATCATCAATTTTATATCCCCAGATTATATGTTTTAAAGTAAATATATATCTACCAATCTTTACTCTTTCATATAACTTATATATTTCCCCCAAAAACTCATCTAAAAAGTGGCAAGTTACAAAAAAATGTTCATAGTTTTCTGTAAGGTTACAAAAATTACAGGTAGAGTTAAGGCTTATTTTCCATTTTTTTAACAAAACTTTGTTTCGAAGAATAAAGTGTAATAGTTTCCATCAGCAAATTTTCAGTTTATTATCTTTTAAATATTTATGAATAAAATTTTGCATATATTGAGCTTCAATTTGTGTATTTTCACATTTTAATATTCTGTTCCACTTATGATACCCAATTTGAACTTCTTTATCATATTCTATTAAAATTGTATAAATTTGCTTCGAATTTAATTTTTCTAGTTTATGTTTGCAATTATTCTTTTCACTTATATATAGTGAGTTATTTGTGAAAACACTAGTTTTTCTTGAACTTTCTTCATTTGATATTTTAAACCATTCTTTTGGGATTGCTTTTCTTAATTTTGAGAATTCAGCTATCCAATTTGATTTCTTTTTTAGTTTTAAACTGATAAATGTTTCTGAA